ACAGACAGACAGACAGACAGACACGAAACTTTTTGATCATCACTGGAGTAATAGGCTTCGCTATCGCTCAGCCAAAAATATTTGCAAAAAATAAATATTTTGCAACCTTTTGTTTTTGATTTTTTAAAAAGCCAATTTTTGAGCTAGAATGCTCATCTTCGAACTCGATCTGTCTTTTTATGATACAAATCGACCCTGAAAATCAAAGGTCGCTATCTCAATTCTTTCTTGAGTTATCGTGCGGACAGACAGACAGACAAACAAACAAACAGACAGACAAACAGAATGAAACTTTTCCGGTCAGTGGAGTTATGGGCTTCGCTAATCGCTCAGCCAAAAATCAAATTATTTTTTTTAAGGTCCTCTAAGACGTTTCTCGTGGAGGTAGATTCATTTGTGCTGTAATTTCGTCCGTTTGCCTCTATCTTGCACCGTTTGGGCGCTAGAGTGCTTTTTTCGACGAAAATACGGCGAAAATTACCACGTTGCACTCAAAGACGAACAAGGAGGCGTCCAATCGTAAAATGTCAGAGGAAGTACCGCCCCAAAACAACACATTTAGAATCGGGAACTACCCTCGGATTTGCCGTATCTTTCACTGTTTCGGCCCTAGAGGTGGATATCTTGAAAACAATGTCAAAAAGTCAAGCTTTAAGACTGTTCGACTAACATTACAATCTAAAAACTGCACGTGTTTATTCTTTTTTAACTTCTTAAGCAAAGCGGAAGGGTGGGGTGTAGTCACGGTGTTGCCCCGTTACAGTCTTTTGTCACGTCCAAGGAGCAAATTTGTAGTGCCGCAGGACGCTTTAAATATGCAAAGTGGTATACTGGTCACATCATTTATTTGGTTATATTCTTCAGTAAATCGCGAGACTGAAATGGTTGGGCCGAAAGCCCGACCATCACCGCCGGCAGGCCAAGCAGGCCCGGCCCCTGCCGAACGGAGTTGCCGGCGCAGCGAAGTGGAGCTGGCAACTCCGTTTGGCGGAAGGGCGGGCCTGCTTGTTTATACCCCCCTTCAGTCCTTTAGGGGCGGCTGCCAGGATTTGCCAGCTAGGTAGCTTTTCTTAAGCAGAAGGGCGGGCTAAATACCCTGCTCAAATAGCGAGCGCATCGACCCAACTTTTAAAGTCTGTAAGTAACGATATTATGAAACATTAAAGTAACCGTCGATAGGGTACTCCGCTCCGGATGCGCGGCGGCTAAAGAAGACGGCAAGAAGCACAAAACGAGAAGTGGGAGGGTGCCGCGCCTCCGCTACGCGCTCCCCCATTCCCAGCTACGCGCTCTCCCACTCCCCGCTTCTGTGATTCTTGCCTTCTTCTTTAGCCGCCGCGTGCCCGGAGCGGGGCTGTCAAGCATATCAAAAATATTTGCAGAACATCGTAACTCTTGTTGCTTGTTTTATCTCATTTTCTAAAGCAGAACGGTGGGGTTAAGTCACGGTGTCGCACCGTTACAGTGTTTTCTCATGTGCAAGGAGCTTATCTTTCGGGCAGCGAGCACCCTCAAAAGCCTATTTTTTTTCGAAATGCATATATTGACTTATAGGTCAGGCCATAGGCTGTAGACCCGACACAGACTCCACAGGAAAAGTAGGCCGCCCCCTGCCGAACGGAGTTGCCTGCGGAGCGAAGTGAAGCTGCCGAATTCGTTTCCGGAAAGGCCAGGCCTGCTTCTTTCACCTGGGGCAGGCAGGCAGGCGTTGCCGTCTTCTCCGATTAGTCCAAACCGGCCCTTGAAGACTCTAATCAGAATGCGCTGGCGCCGGGCCGTGAAGTTTGCATGCCCCAACTGCTCGCAGCCCCGCCCTGTCCACACGCACGTGCGGACAGCCAGCCTAGCCGCTCAGGCCTTCTTCGCGTCACGCCCACTTGTCCTGTCGAAGCACTTACAGGAACAAAGGCTGCCCCTTTGTACAGAAGACGGATTTCCCAGTAAACTTCTTTCGCGTGTTTTTCCCTCGTTCCTCGTAGCAATACCGATGAAGTCCAAACGTAGCAAAGACCAGGTAGGTTTTCTATTGCCGCAACTTCGTTTTAGCCGCAGATTTGGGCTCTGACATTTGACTAACACGCCTTTATCTGAGAATGTTTTGATTTCCTTTGTTATGTCAGAAACAGGGATGCTTTTATCCTTCGCGTAGAGGGGGCACTGTAGAATAAAAGTACCAGTAGTTTACACTTATTTACTCATGTCCGGAAAATCGAATTTACTGGTTTCACGAGTCACGGATAAAAAGGAAAGAACAAAGCTGCTATCTAGTACAGGCAAGTAACGTAGCGCTTTGTCGTTATGTTACAATATACGTAATGAAACATTCTGTTTCGTTCTTTTCTTTTCGGTAAAATTAACGCTAAGGGAACGGTTTCGTCATATGTCCGGTGCTACTTGTAACTTGAAATGGACCAAAAAACGTTCCAAATAACGAATTCTACTCAAACTAAAAGAAATGTAACGTTATAGAAAACGAACCGAGTCAAAATAGTCAAAGTCATCTGTTACACTGTGTAACCATATTTTCAGAAAAAAGAGTAATGTTATGATTATAACCGGTTTCATTTTCTACTAAAATAAGGGACGCAAAAGGTACGTTACAAAAAGTCCTTCGATCAGGGAGAAGGACCGTGAGCGCCACCCCGAGGCTACCGTGATTGCCGTGTTCATAAATAAACTCGACCTCCGCCACTACCATGACCTAGAGCTACGCCTCAGCACTATTTAAGGGTAATATTTAAATTTTTGTAAAAATACTTTTTGAAAAGCTTCTCTATGTCGCTCATCCCTAACTCAAAGCACGCACGGCGCAGCGCCTCTAGAAAAACCAAGTACCTATGCGCGACGCTCGAGAAACCAAGTATCGTTGCGCGGCGCTCGACAAACCAAGTATCGTTGCTCGACTCTAGTGAAACCACGTATCTCCATTTTTGAGTGATTTTTGAAACCTATACCATTCGATAGAGAAAATTTCCCTCTATTCAAATATATAGTTCCTAAAAATTCGACAAAAAATGCGTTACGTGGTTTCACCAGAGCATGGAGTAAAGCGGTATGGAGTAGAAGCTTTATAGTCCCGAGCCCTGCGCGCTTGCCTCCCCAAACGTCTGACGGACGAACGGTTTGAGCTACCTGGGTCCTTGACATGTGTGTCGGGGAAGGTCTGACCAACCGGAAGATACCCTTGGTTGTTCGATCGGACACACCAAACGGTCTCCACAGCGCCGTAAGGCCCGCGCGCCAGCCGCGCGCCGTCTCCCGCCCCGTCTCAGCCCAGCGCCGGCCGCTAGGAGCAGCACTGTCGCGCGCCGCCGATACTCCGCGATCAGGCTCGCACAGTGCTTGGTCTGGGATGCGGGTGGTCTTGGTCGTGAAATCACAACGATAAGCTAGTTTTTGAGTTATTAGTCGGTAATTACCGATGCTACGAGGGGTGCGATGCGCGCTAGCCGGATCGCGGAGTATCGGCGCCGCGCGACAGTGCTGCTCCTAGCGGCCGGCGCTGGGCTGAGACGGGGCGGGAGACGGAGACGTCCCGGGTTTGTCAGAACAAACCTTATTCGTGCTACTAGTGAACACTTTAGGGGGTTTGGAAGACGTCGGATATTTACCGTATCCTATAGTTCTGGGGGCGTAACTGTACCTTTCCGTAAAATCCATCGTCATTTTCCGTACGTGCAAATTTTCTGTGTATGTCAAGGAGCTAAAACTACTCGTACTTACTCTTTCAGGTGCTTGAAATGCCCGTACGGCTGATGCGATTGGTGTGGGCCTGGCCCGACGAGTCTCGACACCCCGCAGCTGCCTGGCTGTCCCGCAATGCCATTTGCGGTTCGCTGCTCGTCATGATGGCTGCAAACACAGCTTACATATTTTCGGGAGAGTACGAAAGTGTCATCAACGTACTGGGCTGTGTCGGGGACGTGGTGGCTGGCTTTGTCGTCATTGCCAAAGCCTTGTGCCTGCATCGCCATGGTTACGAGGTGACTAGTGACTAGTACATTCCAAGCCAAGATGCGAGGGGCGTTTGATGGACAAATGGGGATGGGCTTCGAAAACGGGGACGGGGGCACCGGGGTTAAAGAGTCATCATACTCTAGCAACTTAAATGTGAGACACTCTCGCTCCTCGCTCCCATTGATGCGAGGAAATATACCTAACGCCAAACGGGGCAAATAACCCCAAGCGCACAATAAAGGTGCCCTCACAATGAACGAGGACCGTAAGCCATGAGCAATGGGCCAGCACCCAGGGCTCTCCCCTGCGGTAAGGTAGAGGACATAGTGATTGACCCTTTCAGCGCACATGTGCATACACCTGCCTGCCACCGAGCTGCTGATCACAATTTTCAAAATTCACTACGTGCAATGGCAAGGTAAGGGTTTGGGCACGACTGTTACAATGATTGACCCCGCTGGCACAGTTATTGTCCGGGCTGATACAGTGATTGTCCCCTGCCATTTTTGTCGATAAAAGTGCCAATACAACGCAGATTTCTTTGGTTGTCACTTTGGGTGCCTATTCGGGCCACATGACTATAATCTGCCTCCGCCTCCCTGAAACAACCGCTCCCCC